TGCCTGGGAGCCCTGGCATTTGCCCCCACCAGCCTGACTCCCGCCCAGCCCGAGCCCCAGACCAGCTCCTTCTCCCTCCTGGCTGAATGAGGGGGTCCCCACTCCAAGCGCAGAGTGATCAGTGGGCTCCCTGCACCCCAAGCCTGGGCCCCACAAGCCATAAATCACAAGTGGAGGTGCTGGGGTTCCGGGCCCGTTGCCTCGGGATCCCCGGAGTGTCCGGAGCCGGGGAGCAGTTTCTGTCTGTGCTGACTCCACAGACAGGATCAAAACAGCATGAAAGAAATCAGAGCGAGAACGTCGACGGCGGGAGCTGGACTTCTAAAACCCCCTTCCGCCCCCATAGGCTTCAATATTAAAAAACCCCCTAGGAGCCTCAGACACTGTATTAATTAGTGCAACCACCCATGAAAAGTTGGGTTTGGAGCGGCATTCTTTGCCCTGTGTGAAAAACCAAGTCTAATAAACAATTGTTAAGTTGGCCTGTTGCCGCTGGTAAATTACATAGCATTAAAAAAATAATGCTTTTCATATTAGGCACTAATTAAAGGTTGGGACAGCTTTAAAACAAGAGAGGGAGGGGGGAAATCAAAGAAAATATAAAAATGTTCTTTCAAGAGTTATGGGAGGTTAATAAAGTATGTCTGTTAGAGTGAGCCTACTTTGCCCCTAGCTACAGCCAAACTGGAGCCACCACAATTGGGTCTCAATAAGATAATGATATTCCTTTCTCTGCTATTAAAAGCCTCCCAGTGCAAACTTAAAATGATTTATTTAATTTAGGAAATTATGAGGTGTAACTTCAAAGCTCGAGCCGTTAGTAATGGAAAATACCAGGTTGTTTAAAATTATAATAATAATTGTTTGGAGGACTCAGGACATCAAAGTGTTTTCATCAACAAATGCAGAGGGGTCCGGAGGAGGTTGGAAAGAGTCAGAGGAGGTGGATGGAGTTTGGATTTGATTATTATGAGCCTTATCAAGGCAGGACTCAGGATTCCCGAAGCCTGGTCCTCTGTTCTGCTTTGAAGCGGGCTATGTTGGAAAGTAATTTTACTGCTTTTTATTTAGTTTCTAGCAAGGAGGAGGTGAGGGGGGGCTGGGGGGTGGGGGTGGGAGAGGGGTAGAGGGGTCCAGGAGTTGACAGCAGACTTTTCTTCATTGCTCTCTGACCAATTTCATTAAAGAGGCCTACAGCATCACCAATCTGGAAATTTTTTTTTTTCTTACACTGAAGAAGGACACAGGCGCAATCAACTTCACCAACTGGGCCCTGGGCTTTCGGGGAGGGTGTGTGTGACGTGGGTTCTTTTATAAATGAGGTTTATGTTTATTCCAAACCCAGCAGTGGTGAGGGAGTGGGGGTGGGGGAATGGCCTCTCCAACCCGTGGCAAATGAGCGGCTTTTATAGCAAAGAATGGCCGTGGGAGTTTTCATTCGGTCAGACAAGGTTCTGCTCAAAGGCAAGGATCCTCTTTTCAGTCAGGTCAGGCAGACGTTTAGCCAGTGCCTTCTCTCAGCCAGCCTGCCCTTCACTGCCTACCTCCCGCCGGCCCTGCCCCAGCCCTGCCTCTGCTGGGCCGCAGGGGGGAGGAGGGGAGGCTGAGCCCCAGGTCCCCAGTGAGGGAGAAGCCTGCACTCAGTGGGAAGGCCCCCCCTGCGCCCAAGTGAGATGGGGAAGGGGAGAGAGACGCTGCAGAGATGGGCTCTCAGGGTTTGGGAATCTGGGGAGCTCTGGAGGCCCCTACATCATGTGTAAGACAGCTCTCCCAGGGCTTGCCAGCCCTCATGCCCGCCACCTAAGGCTCATGCTTAGGCCTGAATTCTGCTGCTGCCACTTACTGGCTCTGTGACCCTCCTGAGCAACCTCTCTGAGCCTCAGTTTCCTCAACTATAAAAGGGCATCAAGGACACCTCCCCCAGGGGTATGCAAGGATTAAATGAGAGGTGTGAGAAAATGCCTACTTCTGACCGCACTGAGCAGGGGCTCAAAGAAATGTGATTTCTTCTCTTTTCTTCCCCTCTTTCCCCAGAGCAGAGCTGTCTTTCTGGAAAAGTTTGGAGGAAAGCGTTGAATGTATGGGAGGACGTGCAGATTTGTGTGCCAGGCTTCTGGCAACTTGGGGGAGGATGTCCAAGGCCAGCAGTCTCCTGGCATCTTCGGCTTTAATTCCGCAGGCACGGCTGCCCGGCTCCAGGGTGAGTCAGGGTCTTTCTGCCGCCACAGGTTGTTTGTCCGGTCTCTGGAACCTCTGGAACGCCTGGCACACCAAGCCCGACCGAGGTGGGGACTCTGGCGACAGCCGACCCGAACGCGGGGCAGGAGGTTTGGAGGGAGCCCCAGAGCTAGGCGCGCCGCCGGGCCCTGGGAACCTCTGGCTGTGGTCTAAGTCCCTGCAACCCGGCCGCATCCTCTCCTCGGTCACCCCATCCACCCAGCGCCGGGGTGTGTGTGCTTGAGCCCGAGGCACTTTTTTTTTTCTCTCTCCAGGCCTCAGTTTTCCTTTGAGATTTGGGGCGATTGGGGTAAAGCGCAGTCGCCCAGGCCTTTTCCTATCCACCCATTGGCCACGCAGGTCGCAGCCCCGATTCTCCTAGTCGCACCCTGGTTTGCGAACCCCTCCTCCCGGGGGCAAGCTATCTTAACCCGGAGCTGGAGTCTCCCGATCCCCCACCCTGGCTGAGATCGCCTGAGGCTGCGGGGTCGAGCGGCGCCGGGAAGGAAGCTCGGTGGACGGGCTAATTAGGGACCCAACTTGGCGGCTGTTGACGAAACCGGGAAGGGCTTTGGCCTTTGGAAAACGCATCCCATAAATGAGGATGGCTGGATTCCGTACTGGGATTAGGAGTTCGGGCTGGGGAGGCGCAGCGGGATGGCAAAGACGAAAATTGGGGAGATTTGGGACACTCCTGGGGCTCAGCTCGGGAGTGCAGCGGTGGAGCAAGCAAGAAATCGGCCTCCAGCTTCGGAGCAGGTCCGTGGGCTTGGATCACGCACGGCGCTCGAGCTGGGAGATCTCAGACTCGTTGCCCGACCCCTGGGAGCTTCCGCCCGACCGGGAAATGGAGTTTCTGGCGCCCACCTCCAAAGTGGGTGTCGGCGCAATGAGAACGTGAGACGAAAGCGCCAGTCCTCGGAGATGCCCAGTGCCAGTCTGCCCACCGCTCAGCTTCCACAAGTTCTCCATTCCCTTCTGCCTGCGTTCCCAGGGTCACCGGGGCTGCTCATCCGAAAACAGACCTCCCAAAGGTACCATCAGTAGCCACTTCTGATTTATTTGTGCAATAAAAAGCGGAATTTAAGATCCGTCTCAGCCTTCCCACCCATTGCCGATTTTTTTTAATGGTGATGCCTCAAAACCCAAGTCTGACCCTGTTCTGTACCCAGTGGAAAGGAAGCCTGCAAAGCAAACGGGACTTGAATGAACCACCTTCCTCCTTCAAACCGAAAAGAGCATTTGTTCGGGGTCCATCTCCTTGGAAGGAGTTAGGAATGGTAAACGGAATGCAATTTGACACACTCCTGAAAGGGCAGAAGGCATCCACCCCCCCACCCCCCAACCCAGGGAATTAGTTACAATCTCCATTTGCAAAGAGCTATAGGTCCCTTTCTCCCAGTTTTAAATCTGTTGCTGTTTTGGTAACTGGGAGATTTCAAGTTCAAGATTTTCCCTTGATCATCTACAAACCTCTCAGATCCCTCAGCCCCTCCACTTCTTCTAAGCTTATCTTTCACTAGAGTTTGAAAAACGAATAACAATTCCACTTCTTTTCCATGACTAACACAAACTGCCAGAGGAAACCTTTCAAAATATTTCCTTGGCTATTTTCAATCCACTCCCCCACCCCAGGCTGAATCTGGGCACAACTCTTAATTGATTCACACTAATATTAATAAAAACCACCGGCCCCCTCCCCCAATCTTGGTGGTGTTTTTGAGTTGAACTCAGCTAAGAACAGAGAGCCCCCTTTAAAATAACTGTGTTTGGACAAACTTTACTGCAATAAAACAAATGTTTAATTTAATTCAGAATAAGAGATAAGAAATAACTCTTCAATAAAATATATAAAATTATACAAGGCACCCTTTCAAAGGGATAAAAGTATACTGGGTGGTGGTGGGGGGAAAGATGGAGAGAAAGATGAAGTACCAGGGAGCTAAATGGGCTGTTTGACAACACCATTTTTAGCAAGTCAAAACATGGCTTTACCCTCTGCCCCCAGCATGTTAAAAAGTATATAAATTTTTCTAATAAGTTTAGCACATACAATAGGTACACACACAGCGAAAGCATGATTTTTTTTTCTTTCTGGATCTATTCATTGTTCAAGAATATTTAGCATATAGGTAATGGTTACAGTATATTTATTTTTTTTAAGCAGAGAATTAATTACACTCCCCGCCCCCCAATCACCTTTGCAATGTGTGAGGACTGACTTGTACCTAGTATTTCACAGAAACCATCAATTCCCCTGACATGCTTTAACTTTCTACTCTCCAATTATCTGAAATGGAGTTAAGCAACAGCCTTGAGAGGAATTAGGAAGTACTTCCAAGTCCCACCTTTCCCCAAGGCATTCTCAGGATTCTTCTCATCCCCCTTTTATTGATCTTACCAAAAAAAAAAAAAAAAAAAAAATTAAAACTTTAACAATGTGGACAGAGGGAAAAAATATAAGGCCAAATATGGTAGTATCTAATGAGTTTTAAATGCATGTAAAAATGCAAAAACACGATGTGTCCTCATCATTTTGAGGAATCTCTCCATATCTACTTCCTATGCATCGTGCCTAATTCTAACCTTTGTTTTCCATAAGCAAAAGTCAACCGTCCCATCAAAATCACCAAATGTCAGCAATTTTAGCAAATAATTGGTCTCTCCTATAAGAAAAAACAAAATGGACTTAAACAGTCTCTTTTAGGAAGGTGATATATAGAAAAAAGTATACATATGTGCATATAAATTTTGCCTTTCAAAATAATCTGAATTTTTACGTCTGCTGTATAAAAATGTCATTATATTTTATTATATATATATATATTTATATAGAAAAACCATCAGAGCCAATCTTTGTGAAAGGAGGAGGGGGCATCTAGAAGATCACACCAAGAAAATGGGGCTTGGTGCCTCCAGCCTAAAGAACAAATTCAAACTATGTCTGTGGCCCTGTGGGCCTAGCCGCTTAGGGTGGCGCATGCAAGGTTTGCAGAGCAGGAGTACAGGCTTGGTACTGCCTTCTTGGAGAGGGAGGGGGGGACCCATTTAAACAAACATCCATCAACGGAGTCTATGGAGCTGGTCTTCCTTAGGATAGATGGTACATGCCATATCCGACTGGAGTCGCATAGAGTCCGACGGGCGGGATGGGGAGCACAGGTCTATGGAAAGGGTAGGAGGCTCCATATATGGATGCTGCTTGCAGGGGCGAGTTGATGGGGAAAGGGAGGCTGAAGCCAGAGGGCAGCATAGGTTTTGCAGCCATTTTCAGCTTTTCTAGTTCTGCCTCCTGCAGTCTTTTCGCCTTGGCCCTTCGGTTCTGGAACCAGATTTTGACCTGGGTCTCTGTGAGGTTCAGAGAGCTGGAGAACTCTGCACGCTCTGCAATGGAGAGGTACTGTTTCTGGCGGAACTTGCGCTCCAGAGCCAGGAGCTGGGACGTGGTAAAGGGCGTTCTTGGCTTCCGATTGGTCTTGTGCTTCCGCAGGGTGCAGGTGGTGGGGCTCATGTGTCCTAGGGAACAGAGAGGGAGTGAATTAGCAAAAGAAGTGGCTTTCTCCCAGGTATGCCTGTGCGGGCCTCCCTTCTTCATCTTTCAAAAAGGGACTTCTGTCAAATCCATGTGGGGGTTGGGGGGGGGAGGAGGACCATATTTAAATGGATAAATTGCTTTATTTAAGAAATTGAGGCTTTTACAAAAAGTTTAGAAATTTCAGTGTACAGAAATTTCTATATGGGAAACACCAGCATTATGGATAAAGGAACTAGAACAGCCACGAATTGGTGTCAAGGGCGCCATAGTGCTCTCTGAGAAACAAAACCCCATCTCTTCTGAGCTTAAGTTCTTTGGTCTTTAAAATGGGGAACTGGGTTCATAACAATCCTCACTTCTCTAAGATGCTGAGCTAAGTCCTTAAGAAGACAAGTGAAAAAGGGTCCAATAAACTGGGTTGGTCCCTTCTCCATGCCAGCAAAAGTTGGAGTGCATCAGCATATTTATGAAGGATAATCGTGCAGATAAACGTCCGCGGTAAATTAATAGCATCTCCCAATTGGGAGCAGCCCCATGCAATAAACAACCGCACAGCTGTCATTCCATCCAGTCTACAGATTATAAAACCTGAACATCATTTTACAGATCTGGATGTGGGATAAGTTTCTTGGCCGGGTGCTTCTATAATATAAAGTTTACTAAGAAGGAGGGAAAAATTAGCTTGCTCATAAATGTAAATGTCAGGGGAAATCATGCTGCCTCCAAGTTGAGAGCATGTGATGACATTTTAGTCATCTCTAACCATTCTCTGGTTTAGAGCAAATGTGTAAATGATTAGTTTGTCGCCAGAATTTAGAAAGAGGGAATAACAAGCAAAATAAAGGTATGCCAACCACATCCAGACTCCATATTTAAAATGGATTCAATTACAGGAAGTCACAGGACTGGGCATCCTTGTGATTCCATAGTTATCAACTAACTTTGGGCTTCTTTTCCTCAAAGGGAGGTGGAGGCAGGAGTGTGCAGCTGTGGGACAGAATGCTAAACAATTAATTTTCTGCATTTGGCTTTTATGAGCTATGCTAATTTTCCACAAGTAGCCACAGTAGTAACTCCAAAGTACTCATGGGGAGAATGTCGCATTTCTTGTTTAGTTACTTCGATGGCCCAAGAAAGAGTTTACACTTCATACTTGAGGGTGACACAACAAGTCCCACCCAGCCTCCATTTCCAACAAGAAAGGGATTCCTCCTAGTGTGACATTATTAACCATCACTTCAGTGACTAAAAAGTAAGAGGCAGTAGGTTCTACAATCGATCAAAAACAGAAACCGGAGAGAGAGGGATGGGTACACAGAAGTCTAGACTTTGGCATCCTCCCTAAATAAGCCAGAGAGCTTAGGCACCTAGTTCTTAATTTACAAATAAACTAACAACCCTGTTGAAGACTCAGAGACCTGCTTTCACCCTTCACAAACCAGACCTAGCTCCCTGGAGGACCCCACTGTCTCAAGGTACATACCAAGCTCCCAGTATCTACACTTGATCCTGCTCTATGTTTGCAGGAACTTTGTGCCCTGAATGGTCATCCCAGTCATCCCGGCTGCTTCTAGAGGCTGCATTTGAACTACAAAACCCAGGCTACATGTATCAAAGCCATAAAGCTAAGAGTCTCCCTCTCAACACTCCTCACCTCCACCTCCACCCCCACCCTGCTTTTTAAACCAGTCAAAGGATGGATGCAGATTATACAAAGCAAAACAGCAGTTACCCTACTTCCTCCGAATAACAAACCTGGCCAGTGGCTCCCTCTTGCCCCAGGCTCCTGTGCTAGAAGCTCCTTGGACCCTCTATTCCAACCACAGGGCTTCTGCTGCCATTTCTAGGCCCAAAGAGCTAATGAACAACTTTTGGTTTTAAAATTAAATCCTTTCTCCAGAATCTTGGATTTTTCTCATGGGAAGGTCATATCCAGGGCCCCCAAGCAGGGAAGTTCATCCTCTCTGTGGGGGAAGGGGGGCGGTTTACAGAGCCAGAGGGGAATTGCCATCCCACAACCCTAAGGCCTAAGGAAGTGGGGATTTCTGACCTCTGGACACCTCACTGTAAGGCCTGAATCCCTGATGTGCTGATGGGCACTGACCCAGGCCTAGAAAAACATGCGCACTCAATATTTGTCTAACAAATTAGGTTCCTTAAAGTTTCTGAGCCTCTATTTCACCATCAATAAAATGGGTAATACTGTGCTATGTGGTTCAGAGTACTAAATTTTAGAATGCTCAGAGTCCTGTCTACCACTGGATAGGTGATCATTAAATATTGCCAAGGTGTTTTTGTTTTTGTTCTTGGGGTGGGGGGGAGTCGTTGGTCAAGCCCAAACTGTGTGCTGATTCCTCTGAACTCCGCCGAAATGTCCTTGTCTGTTACCAGGAGGCTGGCTGCGGACACACAGAGATCAGATAAGATAATATAGTGAAAAGTGCTATAAAGCACTGTGCAAACTTGAGTTTAAATTCTTTGAGTCCTTAATCTCCACACCCTTTGAATCTTTCAGAGTTTCTAACAGGGTGGAGAGCTATGCCGGAGGGGACAGCCACTGCCTCCGGGGTATATGGCCTTGTTTTGTTCACAAAACACTATGCAACTCAGTCTTGAGGGCTGACTGAAGGAAATGAAGGAAGGTGTGGGTCCTTCTCCCAGCTTTGGAAAAAAGTCCCTCCGCAGACCCCTCTTTCTCACCTTTTCTAAAGGTGCAGTGGAGGGTAGAGAAATCGTAAAGGCCGGGAGATAGAAATAAAAGGGGCTATAAGGAAGAGAGTTCTCCAAATTGCGTTAAGGACCCGGGCCCAAAAATAAGTGCTAAAGCTGGAAGAGAAATCAATTCTGGGCTGCTTGCCATCCTGCCTCATTGGCAGGAAGCCGGGTGCAGGTGTGGGGACCTCTGCTTGGTTTCTCTGGGGAGAAGAATCAAAGGTGGTCAGGACACCCTACAGAGGAGCAGAGCTTGGACACTAGGGTCCCTTGCCCAATTCAGCCATTGTTGGTGACCTGGACCAAGCAAGTTCAGTCCTCTTAAAGTCCGGGTGTCTGCATGGGGAATAACCACCTTTCCTGTGCTTCTGCCTGCACTTCGGGGTTCCAGCGATCTCAGGATCTGGTGAACTAATGAGCATCATTTTGTAAACCCTCAAGCGCTGCTGGAAGGTTGTTAATTATTACTATGAGCCGAGAGAGCCCGCGCGCTTCGGACCCCAGCCCGCTCCCGGCGAAGGTGCTGGCTGCGGGGACGACAGGAAGACATTTCCTCCCGGCATCAGTTTCTGCCTCCATCCCTTCCTGGGATCCTGCGGGACCCATGGAAGTTAATGATTTCTACCCAATACCGGGGGTTAGATTTCAGCTAGACTTATCTTTAAAATGAGGGCACATCTCGCTGGGTTGTGAACTCTGAAAGGAGGTACGGCACCTCCGCCTCTGCCTGGCACATATTCGAGTGCTCATTAAAAGTGGATCTCTCTTCATTCTCCAGACAGAAACCCGGTGGACGGTGAGACAAAAATAGGCAAAGTGGTTGGAGCGCGGGGCTGAGAGCTAGAGAAACCGATAACCGAGCGACCCGGCAAAACCAGCTACGCTGCGCCCTTCAAAGACCAGCGAATCCTCAATTGTGTCGGATACTTTGCACAGCTAGGGGATCCCGAACACGCGCTGCGCGGATCTGACCCAGAAGGTGTCTTGGCTCCAGCCGGCTCGCAGAACTCTGGAGATATCAAGGGGCCAAGAACTCCCAGGCTCGCTCTCCCGGGAGTATAGTGTAGAGGGGTCTCCGTACCCCCAGCCTGGAATACCGGCCCCCTAGCTCCCTCCAGAAATCCACGGACCCGCCTGCCCCTTGTCTGGCCCGGACGCTCACTCACTTGGCGGCGGCGAGTATCTGCCGGGTTCCTGCATCCATGCGGCTCCGTCTTCTGAGTTTTCCGACTTGACCGAGGCGGTCTCGAAGGGCTTGACCAGCGGCCCGGGGCTGTGGGCTTCCCGGGCGCCGTGTCCGGGCAGTAGCAGTGGCCGCAGGGTGGCCCCGGCGGAGGCGCTTTCGGCTGGCAGTGGGGACGCCTCTTTGGGCGGCTTCTTGTCCGACATGAGCGCCTCCACGCTGAAGGGCAGGCTGGAGACCTTGACGCGGCGCTCCTCGGCGGCCCCCTCCGCTCCCCCAGGCCCAGGGCCCGGCCCAGCCACCATCGCCGGGCCCTCCTCATCAGACGAAAACAGGTCATTGCCTTTGGACGGAGAAGCCATGACTTCTCTGCCCTACGTAGCTCCCCGCGCGCGACTCCGCTGGCAACCCGGCAGCGGCGACTCAAACTTTTTTGGGGGGAGACGGGAGGGGCGCGCCGGGAGCCGAGCCTTTCCTCCAAGGGGAAGTGGGAGACTCGGCTCAGCCAATCGGCGCCGGCTCTGGAGCTGACGCCACAGACGCTCGCCTCTGATTGGCTCTCCAGGAAGAGGCTGGGGCCTTTTTTTTTTTTCCTGTTTGAAATAAATTAGGAGTTAATTACAGGAGCAGTCAGCAGAGTTGTTATTAGGCGATCCCTCAAGGGTTATAATCACGCCAAAACTGAAAAGTCCATGGCGTAATTAAGGCCGATTATTTAAAGAGGAAGTTCGCCGAGTCCCATTTCTTTTCTCTTTTGACCCCTTTTTAAAAAGGCACCTCGCGCCCATACCACTTCCCCCAGCACCCACCGCCAGAACACGTTTAAAATCTGCAACTGACATTGCAAAAACATTTGTGAAGCTCCTACTATACGTGGAAACAGCTAACTTTAGGAGTCAGCACTGAAAACACGGGCCAGCATCCCTGCTAAAGGCAGTAATACATACATGGAGCTTATAAGAGTATTCATTTCGCCATTGGCGAAAGCTCTACAGCGAAAGCTATTACCCCTAGAAGAAGAAGGGACGGAGAGAGCCCGAGAGGTGGTCAGAGACCGGTCTTCCAAAGTTCTGACTGGAAAATTTAAAGCAGTGGTCCCCATCTCTTCCACTCGAAACAAAACCAGCGCACTCTTAGAAAAATTGCAGTCCGCGTGTTTTCTTTCCCTCGAATCTCCTCTCTGGGCGACACCCGGATCCGACCTTTTCCTAAGGACTACGTGTATTGTGTGTTTCTTGCGTTTGTTTGAGCCTGTTTGTCATGTGTTTGGGTGCCAGTGTTTGCCTTCAAGGGGGAGGAGGAAGGAAAAGGCGCCGATAATACCTAGTGCTTCCCTTCCTTTTGCAAATCTCAGAAATACCGGCTTCCGAGTTTGCACACCCCAGGCCTATTACATTTTTGAGAAGCACATTTTTATTCATTGCACCTGGTTTAAAAAAAAAAGCATAGATATCCTCACCCCGCCCAAAATTATACCCTGGGTAATTACATCTCAAAGACTTAGTGATGACTGTACCAGCCCAGGGACAGGGGAGAGAGCTAAGAGTGTGCAGAGGCATTGGTTCTCTCCGCGGGCTGCCAGGCCAAGACCAAAGTGCTTCAAATGACCCTTTCCATGCTGCAGCTGCTCTTCCCTATATCTCAACGATTAACCCGGAATGATGAAATAAATAGAAGTCTCCGAGCTCGGCCTTGCACACAGCAGATGCTTGCTAAACAGTTCCCAGACACTTGGAAGGAAGGGACATTGTTTTTAATTACTGAAATGATCAAGGTTTGGAGGCTACCTCCCAGTGCAAGAGTCTTAGAAACCTGACCCCCAGACCCATCTTTCTGATGCACTGTTTCCTTCATCCTAAACCTCTGCCTAGAATGAAACTGTGCTGGCGGAGGATACCCTGAATAGGCATGATCTGAATCTTAGGGGGTAAAAACAGTCTGCACAGGCCAATTAATTCAGTTTGATTAGAAATGGTTCTGAAAAAGTTAAAAAGTAAAGAAGTTCTAACCACAGTCTTCTAAAACCTCTGGGTCTCTCTCCCACCAACCATATTCTTCCCTCCATCCCCCTCCCAACAAATTGGAAGCTCAAAGAAAGTTAAAAAAAAAAAATTAAACTATCTGGAGATGTATGCATTTTCCCCTTGAGTCATACTTGATGATAGTTGGCTTGATATACATCTCAAATATAGTACAGGTAAATCCAGATTAAGTCCTGTGCCTTCTAGAGGTACCCAGCAAGGTGCAGGCTATATATTTTGGAAGCCAACCTGAAATTCGTTTAGCCCTAAGCTGCCAAAGTGTACAAAAGGGTTCAGCTTTCAGTTGGGCTATACCCAGCCACTGTTTTATAATTGTTCCTGAAAACTCTCTGTTAATATTTGCCAATTTAGGGGCACACAGGCTCATTCCTGGGAAAAATTTTAAAAATACATACTACTGGAGCTCTTTTGTTTTAATGAACTTTTCTGGGACAGGTTCCCCTCACTACTTTCAGGTCCTGATGTCCAGACAGGGAAAGAAAATTATGAAGCTGGAAAAAGGAAAATAGAGACAAAACAAACTAACAAACAAACTGGTGTTTAAAACTGCGATGGCAAGCTCTGTCCATAAAATGAGCAGGAGAGATGCCCAGAGGGCAACCAGCCTGCCCACCTTTTCCTCTACCCTCCCCATTCCCAGCTCCCTGGTGGGGTGGGAAAATTCAGGAAAGGGTCTCACTTCAGTTAGAAAAAAGGTCGAACCTCAACAGAACCCTAGCCCTTTACGGAAAGCCCCCTCTGTGCTTTTGCTTCTTCGTTGGCTGTGTTTTCTGGACATTTTATTCACCTCTTCCTGGCTGCGGGATCTTAGTCGCGTTACTTTGCCTCTCTCAACCTGCTTTTTTATTTCTAAAATGAGAGATAATAATCCTTACCTCCCAGATGGCTCTTGTAGTAATTAAATTCAATAGGCTACATAAAGTAACTAGAAGGTGTAGGGGATCAATAAAAAATACTGTATGTCAGAAGCAGGAGCAATTTATCGAATGCTTTCTCTCTGCTAGATATCCAAAATGGGGCTCATCGCCAGCTTTCACAGAGTTCACGATAAGTTCTTCGTAAAATCTCCCGGGCTGAGAATTTTGCGCAGCCTTAAAAGTGCGCGGTGTAGGTGTAGCCCCTTGTCACAGGACTGACTATGGCGCTTAGGGGAGACTTAGTAAAGGTTAGTTCCCGGGGACGTTGACGTAGCTGCAGTATCTGTAGGAAGAACAGTGGGGTTTCAGAAGGAACCCCAGCGCGAAACTTCAACTCTGCAAGATACTTTAGTACCTGTCCTCCAGGATCTCATTTGTTTCTTCCAACACACCGCTCCGGGCGGGGATTATTTTCCCCATTTTACAGGGAAAAGCCTAAGGCTAAGAAGCACTGAGTATGCTACCCAAAGTCACGCAGATTGGTAGTGGAGGACCCGGGATCCCCACGCGCAGCACAGGGCCCCTCCTCACAGACCCTCATCCTTCCACAGTCCCGCGCTCCCAGGGGGATTTAGCACGTCCCGGGGCCCTGCACCGAGCAGCCGCGCACGCGCACCGCAGGCCCCAATGTAAAAACACTATTTGCAAACTGTGGAGGACGGGGCGCGGACCCTAGCGTTTGCAACTCCCAGGACCGATCGCTAGATCCCGGCGGCTCGGAGGAGGCGGGGGAGGGGCGGAGGAGGGGGCTGTAGACGGGCCAGGGCTGCGGGCAGGCGCCAGGCGCGGGGAGATGAAAGGCGGGCTCCAGGGGAAGGGGCTGCGCCGGGTGACCGGCTCCAGCCGCGCCGGGCGCCCCGCCCCCGCCCCGCCCCGCCCCCGCTGCCCGGGGCAGAGGCGGCTGCCCGCGCCGGAGCCGCGTTAATTGCTCTCGGCCCCGGCACTCAGCCTGCGCGGAGCCGGGACAACCTCGCTCCAGGAGGAATGACAATTCGCCCTAATGGGACAACCTCGCTCCCAGAGGAGTGACAATTCCTCCTAATGGGCCTCTCGTTAGCGGCCTATTCTTCCGAACCCGGTATCAGAAGCGGGCAGACACGCGGGCGCCAATGTCCGCCTGGAATTCCACAACGCGGCTCCCCCATCGCCCCCACTCTCCCAATCATTCGCTGTGTGACGTCGGGGAAAAGGCTGCTCCTCTCTGAGCTTGTTTCTTACCTGTGCCATGGGAAGTAGGAATGAGGACAATCAGACAATCAGTGGGGTGGGCATATTTCCAGGCATTTAAAAGATCGCTTGCAGAGTTACAGAGCGGGAAGAGGGGTAGACTGGCATTCAGCGTTGCTGCTTGAGGTTGCTTGGGGGGCGGGGGGAGGACGATAAATCCCATGTTTTAGAAATTCTGGACGCTCAAACCGGTTTTCCAGGGCCCCCGCCCGCTGGAAAAAAGGGTCCTTTGCCAAAGTGCTCTGCAGATTGCACAAGGTTGCCTGAAGCCTGAACTTTCACTGGTTTCCCATTTTACAGATGAAGACGTCGCGGCGCAGACAGGAGGGAGGCTGGCCTGAGATCTGCCCTGGAAGAAGCCCACAATGAGGATGCCCTGGGGGCGGGGGGAGAGGGCTAGAAGAGAAGGCGGCAGCCAGCCTTGGTACCACTTGGCGGCCGGCCCCAGGAGCTTGGAGAGGGATAGGCCAGTCCCTGGAGACTTCCAGTTGTTTCTCCCCACCGCAGGTGTGAGGGTTGTGAAAGGGGAAAGAGCCACGAGTTCCATTCCTTCTCTAGCTCTAGATTGAAATCCACACCCTACTTTTTACCATTTGTCATCCAACTGGGCCTCAGTATCTTTCAGAAGGGGCATCCTAGTGGGCAGCTCACAGGGTTGTTGCTGGTGAGGACAAGGTGAGAAGCCTTACCAGAAAAACAAGTGGCACAGAGTGTGGCTGCAGCGGGCACCGCACTCACAAGTGGCTGTAGCAATTGTGTCTCGAATCCTGGAGCTGCCCGGGCTTTAAACAGGCTTGAACCCCGTATTTGTTGTGCAACTCGGGATAAATCCCTTCATCTCCTTGGAAGCCTTACCAGAAAAACAAGTGGCACAGAGTGTGGCTGCAGCGGGCACCGCACTCACAAGTGGCTGTAGCAATTGTGTCTCGAATCCTGGAGCTGCCCGGGCTTTAAACAGGCTTGAACCCCGTATTTGTTGTGCAACTCGGGATAAATCCCTTCATCTCCTTGGTTTCCCCGTCTGTACTATGGAAAGGTCTAGCATTCAGTGAGTGTTGTATATTATCATTTCTTAAGTCATTATTGATATTTTTACCTCCTTTTCCATAGATCTGCCTGGCATCATGCACATCAGGGGTCCAATGACCCCGTGCTGGAAGATTGGAAGCATGCGTCTGCAACTTTTTTCAGCATTGCCTCCCCACCCCCCACCCCTGCCACCCAAGTTGGTAAAATG